ATCCTCCTCCATCTCTGTCCTCTGCATCCTCTGTCCTCACTCCAACTACCTCCATGTCCTCTCTAACTGCATCCATATATCTCCTCTTTGTCTTTTTCCTGGCAGCTGCATTTCTAACATCCTTCTACCAGTATACCCACTGTCCCTCCTCTGGACATGTCCAAACCTTCTCAGTCTGGCCTCTCTAACTTTATGGGAGACTGCAACAAAGCCAAGATTCAACTTGTCTGCTGGATTCCTTAGATAGAGAACTTTACTAATTGGCTTTTATGTATGTGAATGTTCCTGTAAAGTGCCCTGAGACAACTTTGTTGTGCTTTGGCGCTTTATAAATAAACTGAATTGAATTGAATTTATCTCCCAGTTGTTCAACCTGTGCTGTACCTCTGATGATCTCATTCCTAATCTTATCCATCCTTGTCACTCGTAAGGAGAACCTCAACATCTTAATTTTTGCTACTTCCAGTTCTCGTTTATTTTATTTTATTATTATTATTATTTTGTCTTGGCTACATTGCCAAACCATACAACATGCAGTAGTTGGTTTTACTACTCTCTCGCAAACTTTTCCTTTAATCTTTGCTGCCACCCTTTTGTCACAAATCATTCCTGAAACGTTTCTCCATCCACTCCATCCTGCCTGGATTCTATTTTCACTCCTTTACCACACTCCTCATTTTCCTGGACAGTGGACCCCAAGTACTTGAAGCCCTGCACCTTTGTGACCTCTGCTCCTTGTAGCCTCACTGTTCCACTGACCTCCCTCTCATTCACACACATGTATTCTGTCTTAGCTTCACCTTTCCAAGTTCTCTTCCACCTGTTCCGTTCTCACCACAGATCACAGTCATCTGCAAACATCATAATCCATGGGGATTCATGTCTGACCTCATCTGTTAGTCGGTCCATCATCAGAGCAAACAAGAAGGGGCTCAGAGCCGATCCTTGATGCACTCCCACCTCCACCTTGAAGCTGTCACTCCTACAGCACATCACATCATCTCCCTGTGATGATGTCACCTCTTCTCCTGAATTACATACCTGCAACACCTGCACATTTTTGCCTTCCTCAGATATTTTTTCAGCTTTATCTTCAGTTCCTTCTTGATTTTCTCTTTATCAAGTTAATATGTTCCAACGTAAACACAAGACATAATTTACACTTTATTCAAAA